TTTTTTTTTTTTGTTTTTTGTTTTGACAGAACAAATTACCATTCATTTCAATTCATGTGCAATAAAAATGGCCATGCCGAGAACTAGGTCGGGGCGAACGACGTCGCTCCGTGATTCGGATACGCGGCTGTCCGATTCGGATAGAATTGAGGGGGCCGGTAGCTGGGACGCCATTGAGTGGACCAAAGTTGATGTAGGTGAAATTTTGAGCTAGGGTTTAATTCTAATCATTTTTGTTGGTTTTGCGGTTAGTGAGTTTTAGGAAAATATGGTCTTTAATCCGAGCTATTGATTTGTTTCCTTATTTTTTTGTTTGGTATTCTTGATTGCAGCCCGTTTCAAGGCCTGTGCCCCTGGGTTTGCAGCAGTTCTTGCTTGAAGGGGAGCGAGTTATAGTAGAGGTAACTCTGAAATTTTGAATTGAATTATCACTTTTTGGTGGATTCTTTCCTGAAGAAGTGTTGGAGAGTAAATCTATAATGTGCCCAATCATTTCTTCTATCTTGATCTTGAAAATTTAGGCTTCTTACAAAGTTATATGTGAATGTACGGTGTGATTTGGTGTGGAAGGAGAAGTGCTGTAGGGCAGTGGAGGGAAGTTGTTTAAAATTTACTGCACATATGTTCAACCTTCGAAAGATTAAACTGTTAGTATATGCTTGGCTCAGGTGAATTGGAAAAAAATTGAATCGGAAGCCTGCTTACTCCTCCTATTGGAGCTCACTGATTAGTCATTAATTTTTGTACGGCTGTATTCGTGATATCTGATTATAGCCAAAGATGGAGATACCACGTTTCCTATGAGGTTTAGTGTTTATAACGTGATGTTAATTTATAAATACTACTGTTTGGAAGTGCATTGTGTACCCATAGGATAAGAACTACAGTTGAGAAGTGCTCGTGAAAATTTACTTTAATGTTATGATTTGCATGATCTCTTTTTGCATTCTACATCATGCTTTATATCATGTTCATGAATATTAACTGAACTGTTAAATTGGAAGCTCTACAAAAGAGATAAGGATTGATGGTCATTGCAATGTAACTCCATTTTAAGTAAACTGAATTTCCTGACAGATAGGAAACCTTGACATTTGATTTTGATTTGAAGAAACCTGCACTTTTTAAAAATTAATTTAGGGTTTAAGCTAAAATATGTTTTGTTGCCTATGTGACAGTTGAGCTAGCTTTTACAACAAAGTTGAGGCTTACCTACACTGTGCTTTGGCAACTGTGTCATTTAGTTAGTCATGCATGAGTTTAAGTTTGTTTTATATTATTCGTACTAATATTATTCCTAGAACTTTGCAATTTCTAACTTTAGATTGAGGAAAAAAATTGGAATATAAACATGTATAATGTGTACCCATGCATGCACGATTACACACTGCTCATTTTGATTTTTTCAAATCTTATCTACTTGTTCGGTGGTTCCCTTCATGTCGCTTGCCTCATATAATTGTGTTTCTAATGACATGTATTTATTAAAAATTTATAGTTCTATTTTCTGAGCAGATTTTAAGAACTTTTAAACATGAAAATACATGATAAAATGACATTTCACCATTCATCCTACCCCTTCGTCGAATATCGTCTTTTATGGTTATATGGTGTGGTTCTTTTTCCAAAATTTCAGGTGTAAAAATTCAAATTAATAGCTCTTGGTGCACTGCCAATTTAGTTGGTAGTTGTAATTAGATTAATTTGCATAAATGTTACAAGCAACTATAATTGATAGAGGTTGATAAATTAATTAAAATGGATCATAATGATATATTAAGGTTATATATGTTTTAAAAGTCATAACACCCATGTAATACACTTATACATAATAAGGTTTTATAAAATAAAAATAATAGTTTTTATTCTAAATTAATAGTTCTTGGAAATTGCATTATTATTATTCAAAGTGACACCTGTATATTACATGTGACCACGATAGTATTCAACAAGGTTTTCAAATGGCGGCCATGGCTTGGCAGATTTCTGTCAAACCGCCATGCTAAATTTGTGAAGGACGGCAGTTATGGTGGGCTCCATAGGCCGCCACTGCGGGCCCTATGGTGGGATTTTGGCCTGCCGCCATTTTCCTCCATTTGCCACTAATGACATTGATATGTATCGCGCATTAGATTAATGTTCGTGTATACACGAGATTTGTCTGCGAATATTTGATAATGTTGGCTTAACATTCGTATTGGAATGTTCCGTGCGACTTCATCTTGTTATCGGTTCACTTTTCTACCTTCAGATATTTCCTTAGAAGCTTTTTGTGTATTGTAGCTTGTGGTATTTTTTTTTTTTTGCCATTTGAAGTAAATGTCTATTCTCTCTGATTACAGTGCTGTGAAGATTTCGAGAATTAAGTTTTTTCTGCAGTTTTGTTGTTTTACATCTGAAAGCTGGATGTTTGTATTAATAAGGTTTATGATTTGCTTCCAGGGATACGGGGTTGTGCTTGTTAATACTGATGAGGCAGGAACATTATTTGTTACGAACTTTCGTCTTCTTTTTCTGGTAAGGCATTGAATATCCTCCTATACTGCTTGTTTGATGAACATTTTGTCCACACAAAAACAAAGCCTTTTGTGCCAAGGGGAGTTATGGTTAAACCTGATAATACCTTCCATGCTGGAAGCATCAGACTAACAAAGATGATAACAATGACCTTCTACTTAATGCATTGAAATGCGTATTTAACTTGCTAGAGTATTTTATAACCTGATTTTAACCTTGTTCCTCTGAATCCTGGTATATATACTAAGAGGACTACGTGCAACAATTAGTTTTATATGCTTTGCGCTGGCATTTTTATGTTCTTCAAATCTTATACGTTGTCTTGAGATATCTGCGAATATTCAGCAACTTATACTTTTAACCATAACTATTGTGAAATATTATATTGCAAACATGAGATAGTAATATTAATAAATTTCTTGACTAGAGCGATGGATCTAGAAGCATTATAGGACTTGGCACTATACCGTTGGCAACAATCGAGAAGTTCAGCAAAAGTGTAAGCTTCTTATGTGCTTCTTTCTTTCTTTTTCTTCTTTTTTTCGTTTTAC